GATGCGCGGTAACGGTGTCGGCAGAGGCAGAACGAGAGGCAAGTAACAACCCGAGCGAACCCGACTGAAGTTAAACTTGTCGTTCCCGTCAGTCGCCGCTATCTCGGCAACACTTCACTCTTTACCCCTGGGGAGCATCTGCTGACATGCATCGTTCCCACTTCCCTGGGAAATTCCATTTCAGTACCCGGCATTGCTCATGGGGTGCCTCAGGAGAGCTTTGAGCCTCCTCTGCGTGGAGCAGCACAGGACACCACACCCTCCAAAAACTCCCCGAAGGAATTCACTGCCGACAGTTATGTCTTCAGTACCTACTGCTAACTCAGTGAAATTCCAGCAGAAGTACTTGTGCATGTCCAGTGCTGCGTTAGCTGAAGTTATTCTTCAACCAAGAGCGGTACCGATACTTAAAAGACATTTTGATCTCACGGTTTAGCAGCTGCAAGAAATTCCCTGCGCCCGAAGAGAGGTCGTGGTCAGCCTCTGAAGTGAGAAAGCAAAGCCATAAATATCGAAACTGACTCGAGCACTTCCAGGCTGGTTTTCTAAATCAACTCAAGAGCAGCTGAGAGGCTGTTTGGTTCCTTCTCTGACAGTTAATTAGAAAGATCAGAGCCAACGCTACAAGCAAAACCTGTCAACACGCAACAAACGTAAAGACCAAACGCTTGGGCCTCGCGGGCTGGGAAGGAAGGAGAGATTGGCCTTTGAAAAGCAAATACTCTGATACAGGAGAGCGTTCCAAACCTTTTTTCTACCGGACTAACCAGGCTGTTACCAAGCTTAGCATTTTGTATTCAGACTCTGTCACGTTCTCAACCAGTCTCCATCCCTTGCATCTCTTCTGAGTCGGAGAAGATGCTGCAGAAACCTCTTCCTAATTAGAAGCAAATGGAATTTATGGCTTCTAGGGCTCCAGCGGTGGGTAGCGACTCCTGCACGAGACTCCTGGAAAATGCATTCCGTAGTGGCAGAGGCACAAACCTGGGGTTACACCTGGTAGCAGCGTGTTAGCAGCACACTAGTCGGAGGCTAATGTGAATCAGAGGGGAATCCAACTAACTTGGTGGCAAAAGGAGATCTCCACGGAGGTCGCTGGCACCCTCCAGAAATAAAGGCACCTTCGGAATCGCGCCTTTGAACGGGGATTAAACAGCAGGTAATTTACCTGTCGCTGTGGAACAACTCAGGAGTTCGGGGAACCTCCTGGAGAGCTGACATGAGGAGGCAGCAGGGGGGCTGCCTGACTTTTAAAGAAATGATTTTTTTTTTTAATTGGCTGATTCTGGGAGTAGGAAAAAAACCCCAAATTCCAGGAGATGAGTGTGTTTCTGAGTAGCTGCATTCTGTAGCAGTACATAGCACAGCTACGGAGGCTATTCAGTTACCATGGAACGGCCAGTAATAAACACCATCCCGAGAAGCACGTGAGGCACTAACAATTTCTCACCTATCGGCACCAACTCAGGCAGCAGTATCCTCTGGTCTCACACACTTCCTTGTGACAGAACCCTAGACACCCCTGCTTCCCTTCACGGAACAGGGCTGCCGACAGCTCTTCGCCTGCAAACATCGTTGCAGATGCCCAACGAGATGAACCCCGTGACTTTTATCCCGCTGGAGCCCACACCGCGATGGAAGTCTCAACAGATGTTAAGCTGCCCTCAGAGACAGTTCTTTCTTGAAGCAACACAAACGCCTTTACGATAATCAGAAAAGGGAAAGGATCTCTACCAGATAGAAGTTTAGATTCTGCTTACTTCTTCCCGGAAGACACCAAATGAATTTCTTAGAACTTAAAGAGACCCCAGGGCCCCATGCAGGTAAGGACAACTGGGTAAGTTTGCCAAAAAAGAGCAGGTTAAGGATTAAACAGCAAAGGTTAAGGCTGCTCCCCAAAGATGTACTGTAAAATCCTTCCTATTTGAATAAAACGGGGGGTGGCAGATACTTGACTATTCTATTCTTTTTAATACCACCCTCATTGTATTTGGAAGACCTGGTACACGTGTGCACCTCTGTAGATACCAAAAATAAAGCTCCAGGTCAAAAGCCCAGGCAGCTGCGTCCCCAGTCCATACGTTCATAGAGAGTCATCAGAAAACTCACCTTAATTCTTTATTTCATCAACAATCCCAACCGTGCAAGACGCCAGACTCTCACGCACGTACCCCAGACAGGAGGCTGAAAGATCTGGGCGTGCGGAGAACAGCAGAGGACGTTTGGCCTAACAACAACTGCTGCGTGCTGGGGAACACCAGCGCTCGCACTCGGTGCTGCTCTGAAGCCTCTGCGGAGGAAAAGCAACGGTGGAACCACTCAGTGAACGCAAACCCTGCATTGAGAACATGAAGTCTACAAGTCACTTTCTCATGCAGATTTTGGCCAGGGTTGTTGGGGAGGCCTTGTAGACAAGGCCATGCAAAGCAGACTAGACATTGATCGGCACGAGTATCTTTCAGGAACAGCCTCGAGCTGCAGACAAAAAGCAAGTCGTTTCACCTTTGGAGCAGCGAGGACAGACGAGAGCTGAGATGGGAATGCACCTGAGCTCCAGGAGGTAAGTCACTTCGGAAAGCAATGCTCAGGAATGCTAGTTACCACCGAGCGTTCTGCTATTCTGCTTAAACCAGCTAATGACACTACAACACTGGAACACCGTGCCCGAAGCATGGGGAGCTTCCCAGGTTTTTTTGTTGTTACTGAGCATGACTTTGAACACTTTTCACTTGGATGCCCAGGGCGGAGTTGGTACCTGTCTGTTCTGCCAAAGCAGAGCACCGCTACGGTTTGCAGTGCTCTTTGCCCTACATCAGGTACATCTCTTACCAAATGCAATGGCTGAACGTTTTGATAAAGCATGATCTGGAGTTCTGTACTCAGGGAAGATGGTTGGAATAAAACTACGGCCCCTCCCATTACCAGTACCACAGTTAGATTTGTTCAACGCCTTCCTACGGGTGACTTGTTATTTTTTGACCGCTGCAGACAAAGCTGCTGTCGTAGCACAGGCTTTGTTCGGGCAAGGGTACTTCAGTGCTGTGGCAGATCAAGACCGGTGGACTGCTTAAAAATTTGCAAGCATTGGTTAAGGAACCTGAAAAGCCAAGGTGAACAATTCAGACAGCTTTTAAGTAGGTGGAATGGGAGCGGTAGTGTTTGTAAAGCTTGCGCGAGCTGAGAAAAGGCTAGAGAAGCTTTTGGGTTAACCCTGACAGGTTCAACGGGGATAGGCAAGACGAGACCTCCAGGTACTCCATGGAACCTGCCTACCCGTCAGGCTGGCATGACGACTCATTCGAGTGCCCTTTTCTTTGGTAAGATTAACAGTTTTTATTAACAGAATTTGGGCAGTTGTTAACAAGGAAGAAGCAACTGCAGAGATTTGCTCTATGCTGAACCTGGCACACAAAGCAACCCCATTTCCTGGCTCTATTTGTTCTCATTTACTCAGGACTGAAAGGAAGGAAAGAAGAAAAGGTGGTGAGGCACTGGAACAGGCTGCCCAGAGAAGCTGTGGATGCCCCATCCCTGGAAGTGTTCAAGGCCAGGCTGGATGAGGCTTTGAGCAACCTGGTCTAGTGGAAGGTGTCCCTGCCCATGGCAGGGGGGTTGGAACTGGATGGTCTTTAAGGTCCCTTCCAACCCAAACCCTTCTGTGATTCTATGATTGGAAGACGGTCCATTAGGAGAGCAACTCAAAAACTGCTCTTACGTTATGGAGAGTCACAGCTGATGGTGTTTCAGGGAAATAGCAAAGGTGCTACTATTTTCTCCAGACAGTGGTAGTCCAAAGGAGGAAAAAGAAAACCTTGTTAAGCCTGAAGCTTTGAGAAAAAGTACAAAAAGCAAGCAGCAGGGGCAAACTTTAATGTTTTAGACTGAGGAGAACTAAAGAGTACTTCAAAAACAATCCCAACAAAGATGAAGGATATGATACAACCCAATTTTTGTAGTCAGGTCCAGTGTTTGAGATAACTGACCTGACTTACCACTTCTCTGACAGTCCTGGTATCTAATCCTTAACAATTCATTTTCCAGGTGTATGGATGCCTGAATTCCTGCAAATACAAGATTAAAACATTTAACAACGTGGAAGGAAACTGGACCAACAGACACTTTGTGACACTGCTTCAGCTGCCTCTAAACAAACGACAGTGGCACTAACCTGCGCGGTTACGGCACCAACCTGCGCGGTTATGGCACCATGTGTCACACATATTGGGATATAATGGCCCTTGGCAGGTTTCGATACGTTTAATTCTGTCCTGGAGGATTTTTTGGGGAACATTTTCAGAGGCAAAGCTAGTTTTATTCTTTAGTAAAGAGAGGAATTTATTACATGTAAAGTTCTATCTTTTCTTCTTACAGAGAAGACTTACACCCTCTTTGAAAAGATTTGTATGTTTTAAGAGAGTATTGGGATTGACTTAACAGTAACAACTCAAGTTTTTAAAGACGGATGCACATACTGACAGCTTCAAAGAAACAGAGAGCAAAAACTTCACTCACCTTTGTTAGAAATCAGAGCCCACGTTTACATCTGCTGCTGCGCTAGCTGGTAAGTGAGGTATGGCTCCTACACTTCCAACAAGGCACAAACAGGTTTTACGCTGTTAATTCTTTCAGGTCAGGCTACCAACCACCTGAATTCGTAACCAAAACACGGGCTCCTGTAGCAGTACGGCCGGCTGCCGAGACACGCTGCGCATCTGCGGCCGGAACAACACCGCGTTTTCAAAGTCAGGAAACACGATCGCATCTGAACACGAAAAACACCTTCAAGTCAAGATGCTTCAGCTTCCTGTCACAAAAGGGACGCCATCAATTTCCATTCTACATGCTCGGGCTGAAAAACGCGGTAAGGAGTCGACGGAAAAAACGCGCAACATCTGCAACAGGCAACAACAACATGCAAGGTTTCAGACACGAAACCGTGACTTGCATCGTTTGTTACTTGCATCTTTTCACAAGAGGAAACCAAAAGGACCACACAGCACTGAACTTCTACACAGGCTTCTTGTGTTTCCAATGTCATTTATTGAGGAGTGAATGAGATACCGCCAGACATGCCAAAGAGACTTCACATTCAAGGGCTGGAAGCCGAACAGCTTTCCTCATTGAGTCACTGTACAGGTTGGTTTTGGGAGTCTGAAAGTGTGATCAATGAGGTCTTCATGCACCATGTTTCTCTTCGGTTCTTCATCTCTGTGATCCGTTAAACTCGTTGGGCAGAAGGACGCTTTCTACCCTACAAAGACTCACACTCCAATTAATACAATTAACACTAGATGTAGAGAAACGTTTATCTGTTATAACGTACATCTACTGCTGAATACAAGGTCTTAAAGCTGTTTTCGTAAATTCATTACGTCTACTGAGAAAATGCAACTTGTTTCCCTTTCGCCATCGTATGGATGGCCTATACCATTAGAAAAATACTCTTCAGTGCTATTGTAGGGTTTACAGGAAACTTCTTCCATGTGGTGGGATAGAAACCGATTTAAACACCCTCCTGAAAGAATGCTTCTTCCTGCCGCCGCCGCCTGCAGGTTGCAGAAGAATGGCCTACCCGCACTACAGTTCTGGGTTTACTCAAAAAAAAGAAACAAAAGAAACCTAAACGATAGGGTAAACGTTTATTTGGAGTTAGTTTTCTTGCGGATGATAATTAAGGCCCTTCAAGCAGAGTTCAGGAGCTCCTGTATGGCTGCCTGTTGATCGGCATTGAGCTGTGATATGCATTCTGTCCACAGTCCTCCAGATGTCTAGAAAACAAACGAGAAGTTGTCTTTATGCAGGCTGACAAGCTTCTAAGGCACACGTTAAGCGTCTGCATCTCCTCAAAGCTCAGCATTGCCTGCGCTCACCCCTGTAACCTCTACGCCAAAGGGAACGGTCCGAAGCTTTCACTTACACGCGCTCCCACACGGGTTCAACCGGAGACGCCCCAACACGCTGAACAGAGGCAAGCTGCGGTGAAACAGCGCCGGTGGTAATTGGTTTGGAACTCCTGGGAATTCTCTGCAGCTGACACCCTGAAGCTGACCGCAGCCCCAACCATTTGCTCCCTTGTGCCCTGAAGCTGAAGGATCAGCGTTGAGGCAGAACAGAACTGTGCCCCAACGCCAGAGTAACTTTTGGGCATGGGTGCACCGGTGACACACGGTGATTACAGGATGACACGCTTCGCTACGCGTGTCCGTGCAGAATTCTGCTGCCAACACACAGCATGACTCTTCAGTGAAAGGAATGGCAAATTGCCTCCCAGAGAGAAGAGGATGTGCACAGCATCTGTCTCGGTAAAGGTAAACTCACGCTTGCCTTCCCCTCGGTAGAGCTCACCTGTGTCACCGAGCCCTCGGCTGAGGCAGTAGCCTTTGAAGGCACCACAGTCACTAGTTCTAAGGGTACCAGAAAATGCTGAAAATAAGAGGCTGGGCATATTTATTCACTTATCAAGAGAAGCTGGAAGCAACTGGCACCCTGCTTTCTTTGGAAGGACAACGATAGGAGAAAAAAAGCCATTCCAGGTGGCTGGCTGCAGGACTTTAGATTGTTTTGTGTGACAGCAGTATACTTGAAGTAAATGAAAAAGGATTGTTTTCATTGATATTTGGTATATTTTATGTGCAGCTCATTACAATGTCCTTTCCTCACACACTCCTTAAAAAAAAAAAATCTAATAAAAAAGGTTTCACAGAACCTGAAAAAGAAATCCTCAAGTTGAGTTTGGGTTTGGTTTTAGTTTTAAATAATATTAGGCATTTTAGACTCAATGTGTAATGCAGTATTGCACAACGGAGATGTGCATTTCTGGTACGTATTGAAATTGATGATACTCTATGCTGAGTATTTCTAGCCTGAGAATACCTAAAGCTTGTTTAATTTCAGCTATGCCCATAATGTTACTCCTGTCAGATGCTGGCAGTGGAACAGCTTTCTGAGATCATTAAAAGGAAAAACAGGCTTTCTCCTGGAGTCTGGGAAGCAGCAGCAGGCGAACTGTTAACAACTACACAGCCTTTAAAGTTCCTACCATGGTATGAAACATTTACAGTGCTTTACTGAAAGGTAGTGTGTGAAGAGATAGGTTTGGTAACAATAGATAAGTGAGCTAAAATTATATTTTTTTATAAAAACATGAGGTTAAAGATTTTTTTTGCCCCGCAGTCTGAAGGTAAATCATTTAACACATGCAGAAGTCTTGTTTCCATCTCCATGTTCCTATCATTCCTGGCCAAAACAAGACCTTGCAACCAATCTACACAGGTATGTGCCACTGTACTGTTAAATAAACCCAAACAACTAACCTTCAGCCTTTCAGATAAACTGAACGGATGCTTTGGCACACCCAGACTTTGAGTACTAACAGCCAGGATTCGTATCCGTCAGCCAGAATCCAGAGCAGCCACTTGCACCACTTTTCACTTTGAAACTGCTTTTCATTCTCTTTATGCCTTCAGAGTTTTAACAAACCATTTGCTGCCAGACATAATGGATCTCACAGGCTGATACGCTCATCCACGTGAATCCTTTCCAAAATCCAGTATTCCTAAAGTTCTCAAACTTGAGTTTTGCCAAAGCATGCCAGGTGGAATGGACAACAACAGACAGCTGCTGCTCCAAATCCTCTGCTTAATTCTCTGAGCTATATGCCTGCCGGGCACATGACTTATCACCAGGTGCTGCAACCCTCAAGCGAATCCACCCGACAGCAATCAGCCCTGCATCACCCAGGAGAGGTGCAGCTTAAATACTCGCCCACACTCATCACCCAGCTCCCTAAGCAGCATTATGGCATAAAGGAAGTGAACCTTGAGGCAGTTCCCCCAGGGGAGGGAAAACACCCAACAGCCACCTGCATCTACACTGGATGAGAGAGGGCAGTAGGAAAATGCCTTGTGGTCTGCGCTTCCTCTCCAGCAGAGATCCCAAGCCTCTGCTGTATTAGTGAGTCACCACAGGGTGCTGGGGGCCTTTGCAGGAACCACGTTAGACCAAATCCTGCGGTGCAGCTCACTGGTACAAAGACAGGCAGATTTCTCTCCAGATTTTAATTTCTGGCTCAGAAAATAACCACCAACCACAAACAACTACTGCTGGCTAGCATGTTAACCATCTCACTGCACAGAGCTTAACGCTACTTCTTTTAAATTAATAAGATTCTGAAGTTTATCAAAAGAGACAGACTTACTCAAGTGCAAATGTTACCAAGTTTTATCACTAATGGTTCAACAAATGTCCAAGGATCTCCAAGACCACCAGCTGAAGCATTACTCTCTAAGGAGACAAAGCTCTCCCAATTGGTTTAACAGCTCGGTTACTTCTGAAAGCAGAGTCTAAACGTTCCCTTCATACCTAAGCAAGCATCTGCTTACCTGCACTTGGCGAACCACGTTAGCCAACCGCTTGGTGCACGGATCTTCGTGTTTAATAGCTTCATGAATTTCACCATCCGCAATTATACCAAATATTCTGGGAAGGTTAGAGTTGTTGGGGCCAAGGACAACTGGGTTGTTGCTGTTAAAATCAAAATATATATATATGACAATTAATGTTTAACTAAAGAAAAAAGGAAAATAGCATTTTACATGAGTGATATGGAAATATCTCATTCTAAAGCTGCTTATTTACATCTTAGTTTCACTCAGCGAAGCACGCGGAGCATTGTTGCCTGATGACGGAATGTTCCCTCTCTCCTGTTAATATTTAACCAGCTGATTCTTTAATCAGCCTACGCTTTATCAGGAAGAAGGTCCGAACTTTACGGAACGCTTGAGTTCCATGCAGATGGAACTGTAAATAGCGTGACAGAAATACCCTGCCTGAAAGGGCTTATTCCTGTGTCTCCCTTTCTCAGGGCTGCGAGGGGGAGGAGGTTGCGTTGCTGGCGTCAGGAGCCAGCACTCTCACTAGCACAGCAAATAAACAGTTCTGCCCCCTCTTTCCCGGCCAAGCACCGGAGCAGCGGAGTACTGGCAACCGAGGACCTGGGTGGAAAACACGATCTACTTCCAGCCCTGCCACCTACTGCTCTTGGAACGAAGAGGCTGTGAGCGCGGGACTGACAGAGCTCCAGAGGAGTACGTAGCAAGGCTGAGCCGCCTGTGCAGAGCTGGGCACAGAAGCATGCCAGCACCATAATTCCCGATTTCCATGAAGAACGGCTGCGAGAGTTGGGCTTGT